TAGTTCATTGCATTTGCCTCTAGCTTTTCTTCAGGCCAAGCAAAAAATAATTTGATTTCTCATTCAATAAAAATGTTTTCAAAAAAAAAAAAAAAAAAAAAAAAGAAGTAAACGGAAAATTGTAATTAATATTTACGCCTCGTCCCAAATGGTGCCCGCCCTCATCCATTCCATTTGATTCAACTGCAAATTGAGTTGCTTTTCTCAACGAGCTCCACTGAAGGCTGAGTCAATAGAGAGCAAACAGCAAACAACAAACTGCAATTTACACACACAATTTGCAAATAAACTTAACACCCAATGCCGGCAATCCATTTGCCATGCATTTAGCTACCAAAAGGGCGGCCTGCCTCCTTGCCACCCTGCCTCACTCCCTCCGTTTCGTGCCCACTTGGTGTGACTGCTGGAAAACTTGTGGCAAGTGCAAAAATGGCGAGATAGTTGCGAGCATAGGGCAAGCCAAGAACTTGCGATTATCGTCACTTGACTTGAGTTTTATCCTCGGCCGAGACAAAGCGAAAGAGGGAGTGAGATAGAGAGAGAGATAGAGTAAGAAAGAGAGAGATAGAGAGAGCCTACCCAAGCTCGTGCGCCTGGCCTCCTGAATGCAAATTTAATGCAACAGTGCAGCCGAGGAGCATATTCAACTTCAAGTGGGAATATATATGTATATATATTATATATATATTCAGCTATATGCTGGGTCTATACAGCTCAACAATGGGCGCGGAATTTGGGCTTTTGTTTTACTTGCTTCTCAACTTGAAGCTCAAATGAAATGCAATTACACCACAAAACTCAATTTCAAGTGTCAAAAAGTTGCGCTGCACTTAAGAAGTTAACGCCTGCTCTCAGTCCAGCATCAGCAGCAGCCATGCCCACGTCGCAGCCTTTGTGTGGGCATTTCCATTTCGTTTGGCAAAATGTCTCGAGTGGGCAAATGGTGAAGTGTCGAAAAGCGGTCCCAAAATAAAGCGGATTACGTTGAATTCGGAAAATGCCCCAAATATGAACGTAGTGACATGACAACCCACACAGAGAGCGAGAGAGACAAGTGGAGAGAAAGAGACAGCGAGAGAGAGTTGAGATATGCCCTTGATAGGCCTAATGTGTGATATATATATAAGCCTTGTTTATATCATGTTGCCTTAGCTAAACTAATTTGCCAGACGGTCGACCCATCTAACCAGACACACACACACACACAGATACAGCTCATTTGCATTTGAAATGAAGCTGGCAACTTTTTATGGACCCTCTCGAAAATGTCTATCTTCAATTTGAGCTGAGCCAAAGTCTTATAAATCTGTCGTCGCGTTGGTTGCACAGGTAAACAGTTGGAGATACGAATTAAATCGCGTATTTGTCTAGCAATCGATCACCCAAATTGATTTGCCATTGCCAATGCTGCTCTGCTCTGCTGTGCTCCGCTTTGCTGTGTTCTGCTCTTATCTGCCAGCTTACACGATATTACAAATCTCGTTTTGTCGAGCAAGTAAGCTCAGAGTACAGGATATATACAAAGGTTATATAGTCACTCTGTTGTTGAGAAATCACATTTGTTTGCTCTTATTGCATTTAGCTACATTTTTGTAAATATTTGGAAAATGTGTGAATGGCCACAAATTGCTGAGGACCATGCTGGCGCTTCTCTTTCAAATACATTGGCATTGATTATCGTACTTGCCGTCATATTGAAACATTTTTCCACAAAAATTATTATCGCAATTCCACTTGAATTTTCGTTTAAATTATAAACAAAAATAATAGTAAAATTAATATATATTATGTAATATACACTATAAAAAAAAAACTATAATAAATAAAATTTGTAATTTTGTGATAATTAATAATAATAAAAAAAAAAAACTAAAAATAAAATGATTAGTTGTAATAAATAATTATAAAATTGTGAATATTGCATCTTTCATTTGGTATACACATTTATATTCATATTATTTATATACTTATATTTCTAGCATTTATATACTTTTTTGTTATATATTTGTTTAATTTATCTATTATATTATATTTTTCCAAATATCAATCAATGGAAATTTAAAATAATTTTCAGTCATCTCATTTTAGCTTTTTTTTTGTTTTATTAATTAATTAAATTTAATTTTCATTAAGCCTACGTTGTTCATATCTTCAGTCAATGTCAATTTCCTTTTGGTTTTCTTCGCTTGTTATGCGTTTCTATGTTTCTCTACCGATTCGTCATTTACAGCCTCAGCAGATGCTGCAAAGCGTATCGAATCGTCGTCAGCTTGCAAATGGAATTTGCGGGTTTTTCACTTTCATTTGATTTGGTTTAGTTATGTTTTTGTGTGTGTGAGTGTGTGTGTGCTTTGTTTGCGGACACTTGGCAAATTGTCAGCTGGCAAATGGTAACTGGCAGCTGCTAACTTTGGACTTTGGCTACCAAAAAACATACACAAAAAAGCAAAGCACAGGAGCAGAAAGACAGAGAAAGAGAGAGAAAGATAGAGACATAAGCAATTTGCACGTTTTACTTGTCGTCGCACCTGTCGTATGCGTAATTTAGTGCTGCATACTTTGCGGCGCTATTTTGCACTTTTGTGACTTGTTTAGCTACACTTAAGCTCTTCACGTGTATGCGTATGAGAGTGCGAGTGTGTGTGTGCTCTCTAACAGCGCAGCACTTAAAATTAGGAATTCAATTATCTCCAACACACACACACACACACACACACACACACACTCAGTGCGAGAAAGCAAACGATGCAGGGGCAGCGAACGAGAGGCAGAGGCAGGCGAGTGGCTAAAGTTGTTGCCATTTTGTACGCACTTTTCACACCTGCTCTTTTTTTTTTAGGCCTTCACGACCAGATGTGTATGTGTATGTGTGTGTGTGAGTTTTTTTTTTGTGCTCTTGTAGTTTCCCAGTCAACAGCGTCCACAACTTTATTTTTTTTTTTTCACTTTGCTGGGCCGCCAAAGTGTACCTCGGTTAGGAGCAGCATTTTTTTTTTCAACAATGGCGCAATTCACTTTCAGTTTTATTTTTGTTCTTTTTTTTTTTTTTGTTTGCTTTTTTTCTTGTGGCATGCGGCATAAAAAACGATTTCACCTAGAAACGGAATTCAGACTGTTTTGTGCCGTATATAACCCAGCATCTAAATCTTAATCAAGCGCCGCTTTGGGAACAGTTTAATTATAATTTGACTTCCATTTCATTTTTTTTTTTCCTGGGCAAACAATTTCATTTATTTCTGGTAAATTGGCTTGAAAACAATTAACAATTAACACCTGTTTGTTGCGCCGATCGCCTGCTCTTGGCAGCTACTTGAAAACTAAACAGGCAACGCCGCCCCACAGCACCACCGAATACCTGCCTAACCCAATCCGACGGCGGAACCTGTTTTGTAAATGAAAAAAGTTCCACAAAAACTTTTCAAATTACAGCGGAAATCCGTGAAAATCCTTTTAACAAAGCAAAACAGGCGTATAGCCGGGCCCAAGGAAGGCGAGGCCCTCGCCTCAGGTATTACAGGTCAGAGTTGTTTTTTAGAGCGTAGCATATTAGTGACGTTCCGCAGCTTTGGCGATGATGAACGCAGCTCTGATTATGATTATGCCGGAGCATTATAGAGCGGTAAGCTTCAGCAGTGCGCAACACGTGCGTTTGTGGTCTGTGTTCATGGTACGGCGCTGCTCCTGAAGCTTCTGTAAATTAGTTTAGTTGCTGCCAGAGGAGAGAGACAAGAGGAGACAATGAATTTGATGGAGAAAGCATAGAAGCTGTCTCCACACTTGGGAGCACTTGCAAAGTTTATTTATTGGTTCTTAACGGAACGCGCTGTCTATCTGTCTGTCTCCCTGCGTGTATCTGTGTGCGTGTGTGTGTGCAGCCATTTTGCGGCTCACTTAAAAAAAAAACCTGCCATCGATATGAAGCTTTTAACTTTTAATGAAAATATTCAAAAAAAAAATGTTGCACATATTTAAGAAAAAAAAAAATATTAAAAAGAAAAAAAAAAAAAAAGTCCAGAGGATGAACCAAAATTGTTCACAAACTTTTTGGCCTATTTGCAGCGCTGCCAGGTGTGATAATGTGCGAGAGGGAGTGTGGGGGTATGTCTACAAACATAGAAGTCAATATGTGTGTGAGTGTGTGTGTGTGTGTGTGCCTAATGGTTGGTGTTGCCAGCAGACTGTTCCTAGCCACACGCAAAAGAGGCCGTTGCTAAATGAAATTATGAAACTGGGAACTGAAACTGTAATGAAAGTCGAAGCTTAAATACACTAAAATGCAAGCTGAATAAGTATTCAAAACATAGTAAAAAATATGTTAAAGTATAGACAAACAGATTATAGGAGTCAAAGTGAAACAAACTCAGGTCTTCTGCTGCTAAGTGACAGCTGTCTCTATATAAGGTGGCTAAATTATAGGTGTGAATATTTAATTTTAGAATTTTATTAAATAATGCAAAATTTTATAACTTTTTAAATTTGTATATAGCTCTGTTCAATAATTTCTTTGTCAAAATTCTACAGCTTTTAATCCATTTGTTGTTCAAATGCAATAAAGTTCATATTAACTTATCAACATTATTTAAAAGGGAAATAAAGACAGCTAAATATACATGAATAAAACATCAATGGATTTTACATTGCAAATTCTACAAATAAACACAATTTGTTTATAAAAAGAATTATATTTGCCTAAACTTTTTTTTTTATGATAATAGAGAAGTAATTAAATTTGTACAGAGTAAATATTAACAAAGTAGATTTTTATTTTTAATATTTATTTCGTTTATTTCTTCAATTTTATATTAGAAACTCTACAAATAAATACCATTTTTTTTTATTTTTCATAATAAAATAAATATTTAAATAAACTTTTTTTTTTTTTTGATATTTATCAAAATATAAAAGTAATTTAATTTTTGCAAAGAAAATAAATATTAAAAAAATAGATTATATTATGTAGTATAGCAATTTAATTAGTTCAGTGCCAAAATTTATAGTACCTGTAGCATTAGGTAGGCATCTTGGCCAAGTTACAACAAGTTGGCCTCACTACGAGCCGAGTTCACTTGGCCTTGGCAGATTTTAATGGCCTTAAATTGAGATTGATGAAAATGCACATACTTTAAGGTCTTTTAAGCGCTTTAAAGCCTTTAAGGCTATCGTTTTGCATATATTATTAGCAATGCGTATAGCTTTCAAAGGGATATCCCTAACTTTTAAATATTTGAAAAATTAATTACGCACAGGCTTCATCATCTTTTATTTATTTATGTTTGTTGCTGTTTTTGTTTTTGTTGGCCGCTTCTCTTGCTAATTGCATAAAGTGCTTCGTAAAATTTGATTCTTTGGCTTATTCATTTTGTTTCATTACTGGGTTTTTTCAGTCGTTTTTTTTTTTTTTCGGCAGCCCGGTCGGCGGTTTATTAAATTAGTAAGCCAGCAAAACGGTTTCTCTTTTGGGCCACAATCGAAATGTATGCGCTGAATGATGGCCAACAAATTGAAGCTGATTGGATTTGTGCGCCAAAAGGGAGCGCAGCTTGACGGAGGGTGCGGCACTGTACGGCACGGCACGGCAGGGCACGGTACGGCAACTGCTGCAGTTTTAACTCGATTGCCACATTGATTGACGCTTGTGTTTGGCTTTGACTTTGGGCTCTGGCATTGATTTGGTTACGCACTCTCGCATTTGATTTAGTTAGAGCAGCTCCCAATGCGGATTTATTGGCAGCAAATTGTCCGGCAGAAGTCGCTGCTGATGTGGCGTTATAACGCGTACTGCTTATGCCTGGCGTTGTCTTGGCTGCTTTTATAGGCCCGCTCAGCATCCGATTGAACGGGATTGCTTTCAACCTGACTGCGATTGAGAGCGAAAGAGCTTCGCGCGCCGGCTGTAAACAAAGCACAGCTGTTGCCAGGGCCAACACGGATCGCCCTGTGCCGCGGCAGCTTTTGGCCAGCAGTGACAAGCACCCAGATGTATGGCAACAGCTGCCAGCTGCCATAATTGGCATAGCCGTTACCATAAATAGGTTCGTCTAGCTTTCGGGAGGCGGTCATAAGGAGGCGGCAAGCAATGCGCCTGCGCTCAGAGCGGACGGAACTGTGCGAGCGAGAGGCATTTGGGTGTTGGGTGCGAAAGGGATGCATCGTAAACAAAACGAAGCCAAAACTGAAACTGAATGGACGCACTCGGCGGTGCCAGCTCGTATCAGATGCTCCGTCTCAGCGCCAGAAAGAGATGGGTCGTAAACAAAGACAGCTGCTCGGTGTCATTGTACTGCTCGGATGTGCGCCGCCTCTTGCGTGCGCTCATCGTGAGTAGACCGCAACAACACAAATGAACTGCAGCTCCATGTGATTGACTAGTAGATACCACGTACTGAGCTGCTGTTGCATGCATGCTCACTGTCTCTTTGATATTTTACATTATGTATCAGTCATACTTAATACTGAGATTACGTTTTCTTGAGCAATTTTCTTTCCTTATATAGAATTCCATATATAGAATTCATAGTCTATATTCTTCTTCTTCATTGTATTCTTCTTTTAGTCACATACTTAATCCGAGTACATAGAACTACTTTTCTCAAGCTCAGTTCTTTTGGTGATACTTAGTCCTAGAAGTTTCGTCTATTCCCTTATTTTCATAATCTAATTGGTTCTATACTCTTCACACTCGAATACAGCTTTTCTTATTGGCCCATTGACAGTATTCTGAGTAAACGGATATAAGTACAAATAAATATATTATAAAATATATACTCTATTGCAATAATATAAAACGTTGTATTAAGCCTTTCCCATAACAATTCAACATCATCTACTCTCTGGCATATCGAAACTTCCAACCTAATATGCCCTCCCCCCGACTCGCGTAGCTCATGCGTAGAGGGTATTCAAGAAAGGGGGACAGCCACAGAGCGCTATAACGCGCACGCTGAGTGGGTCAGGTGCAGCTCACTCCCTCGGCACCTACGGGCGCCCCCCTTTAAAATCGAGGATGCGCCAGCTGCGCGTGACTTTGCCTTTCGCTGCGTTTGGAGTGCAATTTTTAGAACTGACCCCTAATTGGCTTTTGACGGCAGCCGCGGCTTACGTAAGTCAGCCAGCCTTTCAATCGGTTAACTATATCAACTAATTGGCCAATAGATGGCCCATTGCCCGACTGCCGCACGATATGATTTACTTATTTATTTTTTCGCTGTACATTTGCGGCCCATCACGCAATTTGCGTGCTCATAACTTATGCAAATTGCCCGATGCACCTTGCTACCTCACTCTCTCTCTTTCTCTCTCTCACTGTATCTCTCTTTTTCCCTTGCTCTGTCTTCCTTGCTCGCCCACTGTCTGGGTCTCTCTTTCTCTGTGCGCTGACTGATTTATTTTTATAATCTGCTGGCGCACCCCTTCGTATTGGCGGGGCTTTGTCAGCTGCCCGCCTTGGTCCAATATTCATATAATACATACGTAATAATTATAATGACAAATGCAAAAAGTAGCAATAGCTTGCATTAGTATATTGCACTGGCGGATACTCTGCTGCAAGGTGTTTGAGTCAGGTAACCAAGTCTTGCAAGCGCAAATTTTTGTAGGCTTTCATCAGGTAGCCATTCAGTCGTTCAGATAAGATTTTGTATACTGGGTTGACCATATTCTAAAAAATCTGACAACCCTACTAGGCTGCCCATATTCGAGCGACCATAAATATATATATTTTGTTTAATCATATTGTGTCCTTCTCTATTCAAATAGATGGTTCCGTCGAATATGGACATTCCTGTATTTGGTCCACTAAGACACTAAGACTTATTCCATAATAAAACTTCTCATCACTCTTCAACCTGCATCAAAAAAAAAAACAAGAGACTTTTTTTTTTTTTAATACCTGTTAAAGATTTTACATGCGATACATACATATATTTTTTTTTTTTTTTACATATATAATTTCTTTGATATTTTCCTCACTTAAGACTATTTTTTTTTTTTACCATTATAAAAAGCTAAATTGTTTTTTTTTTTTTTTTTTTTTTTTTTTTTTTTTGCGGACGCTTGCTTTATGGCGGCCATTCCCATTTATCATCATTATTCACACACCTTTCGGACGCAATTTTCCACTTGCGCCTCGGCTCGATGAGCGCTGGGAAAAACGATTTTCCAATTTTCCAATTTGTTTGTTTTTGTTTTTTCTGTTTTCTTTTTTTTTTTTTTCATAGCATAAATTGCATTTAATTGGAAATTATAGCGTGATGTGATCTCGTGTTGAGATCTCTGCCCATCTCTGTCCATCTCTGTGATATTGTTGCTGGCATTGTCGCTGTTCACTTTTTGCGGCTCTTTAAGCTTAAAGTGTGTCAAACTGCATTAAGCAATTGCCGCTAGTTTTAGGTGCTTGGCCATGTGACCAGTCAGGCCCAAGACCAGTCAGCCCAAGGGGCGGCATGAGGTAACGAGGGCGTACACGTGGAATAGGCTGCCAAATGCATTGTTTATGGACTCTTTGACGTTATTCGCGAGTACGTCATTATATATTTACGTACAACCGTATACCCTTCCTGCGCTGTTGTCAGGCCTTGCACCCTTAGAGAAATTTAAAATGAAAATTGAGGGAACATAATTGATTTCTTGAAGCCGAATAATAAATACATTATAAGCAACAACAAAGTAATTGCAATTGTAATGGAACCAACTCACTTGATTGCCTTTCACAGTATTTCGATTGCAGACTTTAAATAACTAAATTTCTTTATATTATATGCTAAAATATATATATACTAAATGGCAATCATTAATGACTACCTTCAGTGCGTCACACATGCCGCAACAAAATGCAAATGCCCATTAGCAGGTCTATAAATGAAAACGTATGTAAATTCCCGTCTGTCTCGCTATTCGCGTGCATGTGTGTGTGCGTGTGAGAGAGTGAGTGTGACCAAAACAAAGCCAAAGAAATGTAGAATAGAATTTTCTTTTTGTTTCTTGTTGAATTTGTGCAGCTGCCCAAAAGAAACACTTTTATCGCTCACTTCTCATTCAAGAGTCGAGCCCAACGCGTCGACGCGTCGTCCAATGAATCGCAGTTGCAATCACTTGCCAAACAAAAAAAAAACATCTACATTGAGAATATACGTACATACATATTTATAAATATAAAAAAAAAAAGCCTATATATTAACGATCGTTTGGTTAAAACGCGATCCCATCACCATTCTTGACGCAGTTTCCAAATCGCTGGCGTTTCGAGTGCTTCAATTTACGAAAAAAAAAAAGCGCGTGTTTTCCTATTCCGTGTTGAGCTTGACGTAAGGTAAAAAAAAAAAAGAAAATAAACGGGCGGAAGTTTCAGTTAGATGTAGTGCATACGTAACCCATAATACCCAGGCACACAGAGCAGAGCAGAAGTGGCAGAAAAATCGAAATACAACTTAAGCTCTTAGCTGTTGTTGTTTTGGTTCTTTGGCTTGCATCGTGATTGCACTGCTCTGGTTGCCTCCGGTTTTTTGCCCGGTTTCCCGGCGGGCCAAGCACTGAGTCTGTCCCGCTTCGCTTCACCGGGCATAATTGAATTTGCGCGGCGTGAAAGGTGTAAGGGGCGGCACTCTGCCCACTAGTAAATTGACCTTGTCTAATCCTCAACCACCCAACTTAACCGGCAGGTTGAAGGCAAACCACTAAACACGGCTACAGCGGTGCAACGCATTCAGCAACTGTTAATGCAACAGCAGCTCAAACTGCTGCGAAAATTCCATCAAGTGACTGCATTGGCAAAACGTTAAGCATACGCCCCGTAGCCCCGTCGGAGAAGCGAATTCAAAGTGAAAGTGAGAACGTGCTAGTGTGAGAGTCAACTAAAGTGTGTGAGAGAAAGGGAGAAAGAGAGAGAAAGAGTTGAAAGTCAAGTGCAAAACTAAAAGCCAGAGGCAAAGCGTGCCAATACCAGCATAAAACTGGGTAACTTTTGGCTTATAATTAGAGGTAAGTCCATGTCCGGCGACAACTATGTGAAGCACAGCAAAAGCAACAACAAGCGACGACAACGACACCCGACATCAAGCGCCTAAATATAGTTATTAAAAGCTCATTAATAAATAACACATGTTTACACAACTGCCGAATGCCAAACGGCAGACAAATTTATTTCTTCGCTGTGACTATGTAAATGCAATTAAAGGAAAAAATACGATTTCTAGTATAGCCAAGAATACAATTCATATTTTATGTATATTAGAATGGGTTTCAGTTAGATTAGTTATGCTCTTTGGATGCTTTATTATTATTTATGCTTCATAGTTTCGCATATTTACTTTGATTCCTGCTGCATAACGAGCGAGTTCAAGCTAACCAAGCTGTATATAGTATTTACTGAAGTTTGACTATATTATTTGGGTGTCATTTACTGGGTAAAAAAAAAAAAAA